TCACACCTCAAAAATATTTAGTTGCTTGAAGTGAGGAAAAAATAGCGCACGGGCCAGGAAACTCCGGTTGGTAGGACGTGCGATCATGTGTTCGAATCCCGCCGGCAGAAAAATCCCCGTGTATTAAATGATGACTGATGCGCGTTAAATCTGTCGGGGTAACTAAGTCCTCCAAGTTCCCGCAATAAATCAAACTTCTGGACATAGTGATTTGGAGATCGATCGCACTCTGGTGCAGGTCAAAATTACGATCTGTGGATAAATCAGTGGAGTATGAATGGGTTCTCCCTATAAAACGGGCTATGACGTGTGTGTGACTAAAGACGTATTCTCGGTCATAGAGGCGCCACTGAAAAACAAGAAACGCACCCTCTGCCTTAAAACTTCGCTTGGGTTCCCATATTAGATTTGTTAATTGGCATGAGTAATAACAAAAACAAACTCTCTAAACTGGTTGCTTTAGGGTAGACTTCTATCAACCTCACGTGTGAATAAAATATCTCCGTACACATTGATTATAGATCTTGGAAGGTTGTTTTCGAGGACAATTTCATATAAACCTCAAATGTACCTCATCATTTCATAACAATTTTTCTTAACATTTTGTAAGGGCAGTTTACCAGTTAAAGTCGTTAGTCTGTACACACGCTTCCCTTTTATTATTATAATTATTATTATTATTATTTTTTTTTTCGTTCTTGTTGTTCCACTAAGTTGACCAAAACCAAACTACATGCCTGACGGCCATACGATGACAAAGGAGTTAATTATAATGTATCAATATAAGAGGTGAGTTTACGAATTCGAAAAACATTAATTTACTTTTTTTGCTTACTTTTCCTCCCCCCTCCCCCATTGTAATGAAAATGAGGACCAATTTCACTCAAAAAATACTCAACGAAAGTTAATTCGCCCCAATACTTAATCCGGGAATTTCCTAAATCACCCGAGTTATCATCTTAATTGCAAAATGTTATTTACAGCAAAAGCCCGCTCATCCACTGTGTGGATTAACTGTTAATATCTGATCAAAAAACAAAACAATTGTTTTCCTTCTAGTAAAAATTGATAACTGAAATTGAATTCGAAAAATTTCATCCAATAATTCTTCATTCGCAGTGGCGGTCAATAATAGCGCTACAAACACCTCGAAATGGGGAATAATGAGATTAAATTCGAAAGGAGAAAAAATTAAAAATAAGCACAATTATTGCGTGTATTATGTATACACAATGTATGTTATTACGCTAAAAGTTTAGGCATAAAATTATTGTACCTCGGCTTTCAAAAGTTACACTTTTCAAAGTCTTTTAAAAATCCCTATATCCTATATATACCTCCATTAATCCTATTAGGAATATATCCCTTAAATAATATCACGGCTAAATATAAAAAAACGAAAAATAAAGTTTCGATTTTATCAGTCATTTATTAACTCATTAATTGCAGTGATGACTAAATTTTGAAATTAAAATATTATATATTTTTTTCATTATTTATTTTTTTAGTATTAATAAATTTAAATGCAGAAATTTGGAATTTCTTTTTTCATTTTTAAATTTAATACTGTATATATATTCCTGGTCATATAATCACAACTAAATATTAAAAAAGTTTCAATTTTATCAGTCATTTATTTATTAAATAATAGCAGTGACTAAATTTTTTTTTTAAACTAAAATATTATATATCACTTTTATCATTTATTTTTTTAGCATTGATAAATTTAAACACAGAAATTTCGAGTTTCGTTTTTAAATTTAATACCATATACATATCCCTAGAAAGATAATCACGGCTAAATATTAAACAAAGAAAAGTGAAGTTTTGATTTTATCAGTCATCTATTAACTAAATAATAGTAATGACTAAATTTTGAAATTAAAATATTAGAAATTATTTTCATTATTTATCTTTTTACTATAGATAGTTTTAATGACAGAAATTTGAAATTTTGTTTTTGAATTTAATACATTATTATGCAGCTATTTGTTTCTTCAATTAAAATAATTAAAACGGGCTATCAATTTCACCTTATTCTAGAATCGTCTATTACGTTGTAATGTAATGATACATATCATTATATGAAAAACAGAGTAACTAAATTTTTTACCATCATATATTATTTAGTTAAAAAGTTACTTATATTCAATGCATGCTGAATTATTTAATCAAAACAGTAGCAGAAGATCGCTATTTATTCAAATAAATTGGCTCTCTTGTTTTCGTAAAAAATAGCACTATTTATATAAATAAGCTATGCTTCAGTGCTGCCATCTAATGATGTACTTTAAAACTCAAAAGATATTTTAAGACATTAAAAGTGTATCCCATTTTCTAAGTTGTTATTTCAAATTATAAAAACCGTTTTAGCAAAGATCATTTTTTCACAAGAAAAATTTAGATGCAAAAATATTACTGTTTAATAACTTTCAAATAAATAAATAAGAAGTTCTATTTTCAAATTTTGCTATTTAAAATTACAATACCATTACATTACAGTTTTTTCGACCATACTTAAAATTTTCATTGCGAGAAATTGTTTGCGGATTAATGTCAATGGCGCATAAAGCAGAAGTGATAGCTTTTTTTTTTTCTGCTGTGAAATATGCTTGCAAACTTACTTTAAATTTAATGTGCTAAAATATTTAAAATTTCCAGCTACCGTNATAAATAAAAAGTTCTATTTTCAAATTTTGCTATTTAAAATTACAATACCATTACATTACAGTTTTTTCGACTTAAAATTTTCATTGCGAGTAATTGTTTGCGGATTAATGTCAATGGCGTATAAAGCAGAAGTGATTGCTTTTTTTCTGCTCTGAAATATGCTTGCAAAGTTACTTTAAATTTTATGTGCTAAAATATTTAACATTTCCAGCTAGCGTCTATTTTTACATATATATACCTTTGAAAGTTACACAATATTTAGCTTCAAATACCAACTAGTAGTTTTAAAATCTCAAAAAAGGAAAAAAGAGCTTGATCTAAATTTTTTACATTTTTTAATAATATTCAAGAACACATCACAACTATCAATCCAATAAACACAGTTATACTCATAAATAACAAATTAAGTAATATTTATAATCGTCATTGAACAGCCGCCCAAATTTTCAGCTCTTAGCCTTATTATTTTGAACCCAATTCAGAAGACAAGGGAGCTTCAGGATTAAGTATTAGGAGAAATTTGCTTTCGTGGACTAACCCGCATTTGCATTACATGAACAGGAAAACCACGAAAAACCCCTACGGTTAGCCCAACAGCAAAAGGACTCTAACCAATGATCCGTCTACCATTGAGCATATGCTAATATTAATTTTATAACCGTCGTTGAACAGTCAATCCAATTCTTGGTTTACGACTACTAATGTTCAACTCCGTAGCCTTGTAATTTTGAACCCAATTCAGAAGACAAGGAAACTCCTACATCAGTACCCTCAGAGGTATGATTTGTTATGGGAACATTGAGACTCGACAGATTTAACGTGCATCAGTCACCATTTCAAGACTCCGTACCCTTGTAATTTTAAAGCCAATACAGAAGACAAGGGAACACCTGGATCAAGCATTGGGAAAAATTCGATGTTGAGTAGGACTTTTTAATGGAACTAACCAGCATTTGCATTACATGGATAGGAAAACGAAACTAATATTCATTGCAGTAGATTGCTTTTCGATAATCAGAACAAAAGTAGGCTATTTGAAATAATAGTGCAGCAATCCAAACTCAACAATTCCCAAACCCTAGGATTCCGAGTGTTAGAACTCTTAACCAGATATTATTCTTGAAAACTGTAATTTTTAATTAAGTCAATCTTATTTTTATTTAATTATTCAAAAACGAGCCATCAAAATAAAGCAATTTTAAAAAAATTCCAATTTCAATGTATACATTGAATAATTAAGAAAAGATAAATGCATCTATGAAAATTTTTAATCAAAATAAAATAACCTAATTCAAAAACAAAGGAATATATTTTTCTGATAACCATTCTGAACGTTTTTAATAGTTTAATTTTAACGGAAACTTCAGTTTATTTTATTTATTTTTAGTTTATGAAGAAAGAAAAAAACAGTTGCCGAAGAGGAAAAAAATTCATTCCTCAATTTAAGTAATTTATAAATAATTAGTCATCTTTTTTGATTTATATATTCATAATTTTTAAAGAAACATTATTTGATTTTTCTAACGCGTATTGAAGTTGAGCTTTTGGTACGAATATTCAAAGAAAAGATTCGAGTTATGTGTAAAAAAATATTATACTTTGTTGAAAGTCAAGAAACGTATATCAACATTATAAACTCTTAAAATGATTTTGCAGAGGCTCCTTTCTTATTACACAGTGATCAAATTACAAGTAATAGAAAATAACAAAAATTATGTCTAAAAATCCTAACAAATATGCGTTTTACTATTTGTATTTAAAGAAATTGATGAGAGAATGATAAAATATCATTTCTTGCAGTCGAATTTTTTCTACGGGAAAGCAAAAGTGAAATGTTTTTCTTCTCTCATTTGATTTGTTAAGAGCAGCTGTCTCCAATTAATACTTAAATCCTATACCGCAATGGTATTTACTTAACTTGCAACGGAGCATAGATATTTGGTTGGCCCGTCTTTTCTTTCAAACAAAAGTTTAATAATTTTCTTCCCTTTCCTATCAGTTCCATAACGTCTGATGCTAATCTTTGCACAAAAGTTGGTTTAATCATTTATCACTGGACCCAACTGAACGAGATGTGTTTCTGTGAATATAATTCCTAAAATTTTACCTCGACATACCAATAACAAGCGGCTTTATCGGCTATAGTGCCTTTCCCATACACAGCACAAATGTCACGACCAGCTCTTATGGGCTTAGAAACTTCATTAAAAGCAAAAAGTGTCAAAGATGCTCATATTGATTCCAACAGAACATCTTTCGAATAAAAAAGTCAAATTATGCATTGTTCAAAACACAAAGAATAAACTAAATAATTACGAATAATACATTAATTCAAAGATAGAATTCTATTTATTCTCAAATTTACAAATCATAAGACTTTGTATCTATATACAATATAAAAGGAACTGAACACAATCTATACATTCTATGAAACAGTCGAAACTTTCAGAAAATTTCTTCAGTCCAAACGAATTGTAACGCCTTGCTTCTTTTTTGGAGAAGAGACTAGNAAACGTATATCAACATTATAAACTCTTAAAATGATTTTGCACAGGCTCCTTTCTTATTAACAATAATCAAATAACAAGTAATAAAAAATAACAAAAATTATGTCTAAAATTCCTAACAAATATGCGTTTTACTATTTGTATTGAAATAAATTGATGAGAGAATGATAAATATTATTTCTTGCAGTCGAATTTTTTCTACAGGAAAGCAAAAGTGAAATTTTTTTTTCTGTCATTTGATTTGTTAAGAGCATGTCAGTATAAGAAACGCTATCTTTAGGGGTCCAATCAAATCCATCTCCGGCAACGTCATATAGTTGTTTCTTTAAAAAGAATGTATGTTCTCCATTATTTAAATTTGTCGCCAAGTCTAGGATTCAAGTAAGACTACGAAAGTATCACCTTTTCTTATAGTAATTTTATGATATTGTATATCGTAAAAGATAGCATGAATTAAATTTCTGTGAGGTGTTCAACTTTTAAAGGCTTTATATTGTTTTGAAAGCATATTTGTGTATTTTGATAATGAAATAAAACGGAACTATATGCAGTCGCCGATTAATACTTAATTCCTATACCGCAATGGTATTTTCTTAACTTGATATTTGGTTGGCCTGCCTTTTCTTTCAAACAAAAGTTTGAAGTACAATAGTATAATTTTCTTCCCTTTCCTATCAGTTTCATAACGTCTGATGCTAACTTTAGTACAAAAGTTGGTTTAATCATTTATCACTGGACACAACTGAACGAGATGTGTTTCTGTGGATATAATTCCTAAAATTTTACCTCGACATACCAATAACAGGCGGCTTTATCGGCTTTAGTGCCTTTCCCATACACAGCACAAATGTCACGAGCAGCTCTTGTGGGCTTAGAAACTTCATTAAAAGCAAAAAGTGTCGAAGATGCTCATATTGATTCCAACAGAACATCTTTCGAATGAAAAAGTCAAAATTATGCATTTTTCAAAACACAAAGAATAAACTAAAAAATTAAGAATAATACATTAATTCAAAGATAGAATTCTATTTATTCTCAAATTTACAAATCATAAGACTTTGTATCTATATACAATATAAAAGGAACTGAACACAATCTATACATTCTATGAAACAGTCGAAACTTTCAGAAAATTTCTTCAGTCCAAACGAATTGTAACGCCTTGCTTCTTTTTTGGAGAAGAGACTAGAAGTTACAGAGACGATATTCTGTTCCTCTATCCTTACGATACTGTAGATTCATCTGCAATAAAAAGAATTGGATATTTAATACAGGAAAAAAGGTTCATTGTCAAAGTCAATTTTCCTGCCCAAACTTTATCTACAACCCCAGATTTAAACTTTAATAATTTTTTAACATCTACATTATATTAAATAAATAATCTCAAGAAAACGAAGCGATAACAAATTACTACTTGATTAAAAACTTCATTCATTTCAAAAATATACAAACCGGAAATAACAGTCGACACGTTTCAAGCGCTTCAAAAACAGGCGCACATTTTCAGGACTTGTCAGACGTGAATTAATAGAAACAGTGATTTGGGATATAAAACATTAAACGAAAAATGGAAAAATAAAGGTGAGAGAAGGGAAAAAAAGAAAACTAGAAAAACCACAGTAGCCGAGAGAGAGGGAAAAAAGATAAGAACAAGAAAAATCAGTGGCCAAGAGGGGCAAATCATGGTGAAATGCATTTCCACGCGCTATAGAGAGGTGGTAAGGAATCTGGGTACATATTCAATTTCGACAATGCCTAAATTATGTCCACCCCAACTCATCTTGATGCCCAGGAATCTTGTTTTATTCATGTGAATGCTGATTCTCTTGTAAAAGACAGTAATTTCTCACCAGCTAGCTCTCCGTTGAACTGTAAATTAAATTCATTAATATTTTTTGTGTAAGCTGAAGTTATTGTTATTATTATTATTTTTTTTTGGTTTCATTTTACAATAAAAATTTAATATTAAAATCTAAAATACAAAAGCGCGCTTAAACATACTTTTAAATTTCTGGATCCAAAATTTAGCTTATTATCCGTAAGCATGGCTGAACAATTTAAAAATTTTTGCAGAATACTGCGTTACATAAACGCGGTACTAACGCAACTAATTTTACGAATTTGATGGATGCTAATCTTCGCAGGTCTGTCCATAGATGTATTGAAAATGTCCCTGTGGCTGAGCGTTAACAGAAGTAACGAGTTCAAAATAACGTATAAATCATATTTAAACTAGCCTTTATGAAAAATAGATAATTAATCATTTTGGTCATACTTCTACATGCGAATGCATAACCGTGAAACATGGGTGTTATTTTAAAGAAAGGAACTATTTTCGATGCACTTTATTTCTAAGAAGAAACAAAAGAGCAATTAACAGTTAAAAAATAACTGTAGAGGAAGGCATAAATGAACAAATACGAAAAGAAAAAAAAATATCTTTTGGAATAACAAACTGGCTCGTGTAAACATGAATAAATATTTTTTAATTATTCCCTTCCATTTAATGTGAGCCAATTTCTTAGTCGAAACCATTTTGAACATTGGTGAAAATTAATTCCTCCAGTAAAATTCGTCTCCTTAAAGTAGTGAAGTAGTTACTCAGGGGTCTGTCCAGACATTTTGTGAAAGGTCCGTTTTTCGCGAAATTGTGAAAAAATTACTCACATTCTTTCAACCAGGGTCCGCTTTTATGAATTTGTGCAAATAGGGTCCGTTATTGCAAAAAAAAATTTTTTTTTCAACCATTGCGCAATCCCCAGAAAGCTTAAATTATCCGCAAATGTTTTAGTGAAGATAAAATTATAAATTTTCTTATCTTCACGATATGTCGCAATAGTTTATATATATATACAGGGGTGCATTTCGTGAAGGGTCCGGTTCTCGTGAAATTGTGAAAAAATTACTCACATTCTTTCAACCAAGGTCCGCTTTTATGAATTTGTGCAAATAGGGTCGTCCGGTTATGGCAAAAAACTTTTTCAAGGAGTTTTTAAATTGTAAATAGATACAAGATTATGCTCAACACTGTAAAATTATAATTAGAAAAATTACATTTTAAAAAATAAACAACAATTGCTGCTTCTAAATTAGAGATGCAACATACAAATATTTGGTATTTAGCCTATACTGCTGAACGCAGAATATTCATTTCGGACGAATAATGGAAGAATCGTCTGCCGAAGACAAAACTTAATTCGTTTACATCCATCTTTCTTGTTTTCTGCCCTGGAAAGGGTTCATTCGATTAACAAAATAATAATGTAGATAAACAAATTTGTGAAGGGTCCGATTAAAAGAAAAATCATTTTGTGAAGGGTCCGTTTTTAAGTTAAAATATTTTGTGAAGGGTCCGCTTTCAAGAAAAGATATTTTGTGAAGGGTCCGTTAACGGACCCAAATTTCTTCTAAACAGACCCCTGTTACTAAATTACTAAGTAGTTTTGGTCACTACATTTAAAAAAAAAAATAGTTGTAGAAGTAGTGATCTACATTTGTAACAAAGTAGTTGTAGTAAATTGCAAAAATAATGTAGTTTCTTCGTAGTATAATAATGTAGTTTTACTATACAACGTACTGCAGTTTTATAATAATAATGTAGTTAGCAAAAATAATGTAGTTTTTTTTTTTTCCAAAACTCATTGAAAAACATGATTTTAGTTTTTATAATTCTCGAAAACATTTTTTTTTTTCTTCTAAAAAAACTGATCACAGGTTTTAGTGATTCTCACAACACAAAAGCAAGAACTCTATTTCACTAATTCACAAAATTATGACATCTTCACAATTTAACAAAACATTTCACAAAATGCTTTGAATAAATAGTGTTTTAAAATTTTTGTGCGCTTTTAAATTGTAATTCTTATAAAGTTATAAAAGAAGAAAAAAATGTGATTTACTTCTTTTGTCATTCTTTTTTTAAGGGTTTTTATCTTAAGCATCAAGTTCTTGAAAATGCAGGTGACGACATATATGGCATCTGGTAAACACGCGACTATCTGTCCGGATTTATTTACTACAGTGTGGGTCAGGGGTGGGAGAAATGCTGGTACCGGCATGAAAATGGAAGAGAAAAACGCACCGGAAACAGGAAAATGCTTGATAAACAAGATTTTGCTATCATCTATCCCGTTAAAAAGAGAGAGAAAAAAATCTAAGACACTGATGAAGATCTTTGGTATGGGTAAGCAATGCATTTCAATGTTTTTGGATTTTTTTTTTCTTTTAAAGGAGCTAGATTAAGATTTCAACCAAACATTCTTTAAATAGTTTGTTAAACGTTTGTGAAGAAAAAAAAACAAGGAATGGGATCTGTGAATTGTTAAAAGAAACTTGGGCATTTTAAATTGTTTTGCGTTACATGTGAATGGGAAATGACGTTAAAACAATGCAATCATTGATTGATAATTTTAATGAAACTTATTCCACGGATAAATATTAAAAAAGAATTTATTTATTTTTTCAAATAAACAACATAAGAACGTTTTAAATAATCCAATTATTGATTGAAAACTTTAATCAAACTTACTCCACGGATAAATATTTAAAGGATTATTTCTTTTTAAATAAACTAAGAATTTAAATATTCCAATCGTTTATATAATATTCGCATCATTGATTGATTAATTTTAAAACAAATCAAGAGTACAAAACTTATGGTTTAGTATAGTTTCAATATTTCAAATTTTATCTTTCAGAACACAAATTTGCAAGCTTTAGAATTTAGCAAATATGTGTAAAAACTATTTCTAATAATGTATAGTATATACGATTTTGGATTATTCTTCCTTAATTTATTCAAATTAAAAATAATAAAAATAAAAAAAAATTCGAAAAATACTTTTTTTCCCCAAAATTCTTTGCCGAATATTCAGCGTAAGGGCTGAATATTCATTATATCCCTATACATAAGTAAGTAGTTTAAAATATAGAAAAAGTGAGTTTAGTTACACCTTCAGTAAATCAAAAAAAGTTTGAAACCTTTTTTTTTGGTTTTGTTTCAAAATGTCAAAATGCACCCAAATTGAACACACGTTTCTTCTCGCTGCATTTAAATAATAAAAAGCGGTATTCTTTATATAGACAATCAAACCGCAGTACCCAATACAGTTACATTATCATCGCTTGTCATTCCGAACTCTAGACTATCTACTCCTTGGGTGGTCCTTAGAACGTGTTGCGGGGGTGATTTTTTTTTCTCTTCCTTCTAGTGGGTGTGTTTCTTGTCTTCATTTATCGCCACTTCCTACAGCCTGACTGAAGGCAGGGGCATACGGGGCAGTTGCCCCGGGCCCCCACATCAGAGGGGGCCCTAAATCGAATAGAAAGTTAATTTTATGTTTCCTTCTTTAATGAACTTTTTATAAAGAAAATATCAGTACCGAGTAAAATACGTCAGCTTCTTCATTAATCTATCGTATGAACACTATCTATATTTCGTAAATCCATGTTTTTCTAAGGCAGAATTAAGCTAAATGTTCGCAGTTACGATGGATAAATTTGGCTCATGAAAAGCCTGTATTTTAACATATCACAAAGTACGATATGTATACAAAAATACAGGCTTCTGATTGGCTTCATTGAGCCATCGTCATTGGGTAAATTTAGCTGAATTCCGCCTTAATATCAGCAAGGATATGAATTTTTCGCAACTAGATGAAAAAAATAAACAACCAGGCTAATCTAATTAGGCTACGTCGGACCAAATCCCCAAGATTCATATGGTTAATTTGGAATAAAAGTTAACGAATGATCTCAAAATTTCTTTTTTTTTCCTCCCGAAGAAGTAACTTGACTGCATGTATTTTAATATAAAATACTGAACAGAAGTGTGTAAAGACAATATGTGCGCAAACAAATGTTTAGGTTTTTTTTTTCTTCAAAAAAAAATTTATAAAAGGATATTATAAATAATGAAAAAAAAATGGGGGGGGGGGGGNNGGGGGGGGGGGGAGATTCAAATAAAGAATTAACAACTTGAAACAATAGTAAACTTAGCCATCTAAAAATTAAACAGAACATTCATAAAATAGAGAGACTTGGAATGGCTGGGTCATGCAGAAAGAATAAATAAAAATATGAAGTTCAGAAAAATCATAAAATCTAAATTAATGAACTCAAGACTCAGCAGTAGGTTCAAAAAGTAATGGTTAGATGATTCAATCAAAGCATGAAATTGATTTAAACAAATTTTAAGATAAAAACTTAAAAATAGTAAGTCAAAATGGAAAAGGGCTATAACCAAATTTGTCACAGGTAAACAATTCAAAAAGTTAGAAATCAAAAAATCAATCAAAACAAAATTTTAAAGATATGTCTGTTAGCAAAAACAGCTCTTATCAGTTTTTGGTTTAACTACTCACTACAGAAAGGCAACAGTACGTTAGCAGACTGTGATGAAGTGCTGTTTTTGCTGACATACATATCTTTTCCATTCCGTTTAGAGCTGGTCTCTAACATTTTTATTTAAATGGTTAAGATGATGTAACATGGTGGTCTAACCATAACACAAACTACTAACTCAGGGGTCTGTTTAGAAGAAATTTGGGTCCGCTAACGGCTGAATACCAAATATTTGTATGTTGCATCTCTAATTTAGTAGCAGCAATTGTTGTTTATTTTTTAAAATTTAATTTTTCTTAATTATAATCTTACAGTGTTGAGCATAATCTTGTATGTCTTTACAATTTAAAAACTCCTTGAAAAAAAATNACCCCTGACTAACTGAAAACACAAGGGTAAGAATAGACAGGTTTGAAACAGAATTTTCCAGCAAGCCAAGGCCGACAGTGTGCTAAATATGTAATTAACTAAATTCATAAATGGCAATATATAAATGAAAGAATAAAGAAAAATGAATAAAGAAACAATGAAAAATCTGAGAATAAATGGAAAATTGTTCTTTGAATAGCTTAACATTTAGCACAGCCAAATTTAAAAAATATTTTTCTTATTTTATTTTAAAAGGCATTTAATTTATTACTGATTTTTTTTTCTGTTTTTCTTAATAATTTGAATTGCGATTTTAGAAATTAGTGAAATGATAAATTATAAATCATTTATTACCTTGATTTCTTAATATGTAGTTGGCAACACGATGAGGTCCTCTGAGAAAATGAATACTGTTGGTTTTGGAACACGGTCGTTTGAGTGTTCTTTTCTTCTGAATCTTGGCATAGCCTAGAAAAAATACGCCACTTTTAAAAATATTAACAATGCAAGGATTGAGATACAGTGTTTTTAACTTTTATAGTTTAGTGTTAAAAAACAAAAATGAAAAAAAAAAATTCAGAAGAACGAGTTAATGCTATATGATCTTTAACAAACTCCATTTATTGAATATTTTCAATTAAAAAATAATTGCAGGATTTCGTTTCGAACTACTTAGACCGAAAATTAATCTTAAGTTTTAATTAAAAATTGCAGAATTTAGTCACAAATATCTCCGATACCTTGAATTTTAGCTGAAAAGAAAGATAGGAGCAGCTTCATTAATATGTGCGAATTCCACAGATAACAGCTGAAGTTAAATTACCGATTGAAAAATAAATCAAACATCGTTTGAAAACGATTTATTCAATTAAAGCAGCAGACAGTTTTACAACTCAACTCTACGATTGGAACATAACTTTTGGTTATCGTCTAATTAAATTGATTTGGTTACCATAAAACACATCTAGTTTTGTAATCATCGAGAGCCATCAACTGAAATTTTTATGACCCTCAAGAAGCGTCCCCTCCCGAATAGTCCAGAAAATGCAATTAAGCAAAATGTAATCGCGAAAGGTTAATGGTTGGTTTGACCCCGTCTTGTAACCGAGGAGGCGGTTCTACAAATTTATTCCAAGTAATGTGTATGTCGTTTCTAATGATAGGAGGTAAGAAATAAATCATAAGGACAGGAATAATGACATTAAAAAAATAGATGAAAGATTGGTACCAAGGATTTGCAGATTGCAAACCTATGAAGATTTTGACATATTTGCTTACAGGGAAGATCTTAATTATGATAACAGAAATCGGAACTAATCGCGACATTGTAGTGACAGAGTATTAGCCGGTTGAATGCATTTTTAAAATCCAATCTGGTTTTAAATCGTTTTAACCGAGACTTAATTAGAACAGTTCATTCCAAACTGTAGCCAAAAGACATAAAAAACGACTAAGTTTTGGAAGACAATTTCCTTCGAATAAAATATGAAATAATAATTGTAATAAATAATATAAATATTTATGTGATTACATTTAAAAAATTTGTTAAACTAATAGTTTATTTTCAAGACTTCATCAGCTTCTCAATAGTATCATTCTTAAAACTTTTGAAAGGATTCATTTTTAAAATAAAATATATTTTTAACGGCAGAAATTTCTTTTTTAATAAAATTGTAATGAAATTCCAATTTCTCCTATTAAGATTCCAGCATATGCTTTATTATACTAAAATTAAAGAACAAATTTCAAATGAAAAAAGGATGCCATTTTTTGGAATACAATTTTATAAGTTTGAATTTTAAATGCTTGTTTTCGAATTAACTAAATAAAAAATACATTTAAACTATTGTATATTGCTAGTAAATGTAACATAATCTGAAAGTTGAATATTAATTGATTGAATAAGTACTGAATATTTCAGTTGGTTAAAACTTTTTCATTTTAAAAATATTATTTTAAGTTTTTTTTCCCCCTCTTTGTATGGCTTTACAAAACACAATTGTCTATGTAAATATATATTTCTGTTCACCCTCGTTGTCCGTATATTTTAATTATAATGAGAAAAATAAGAAATTTAATTCAAGTAACCATTGATAGTTTCATAAATAATATATCTTGTATAACTATTGAGTTTAGTAGATTTTGTACCGTAAATAAATATGCAAAAAATCATTTTTTATATAACCTGATAAAAAACTTCATTCGTTTCAAAAATATAAAAATAAGAAATAACAGTTGACATGTTTCAAGCGCTTCAAAAATAGGCGCCCATTGTCAAGACCTAGCAGACGCGAATGAGAAGAAACAAGTGATTTCAAAGATTAAAAGTTTAATTAACAACGAAATATGGAAAAATGAAGGTGGTAGGTAGGTACTTTATTTACGTCGCACTAGAGCTGCACAATGGGCTATTGGCGACGGTCTACGAAACATGCTTTCGGATGTCCGAAGATATGCCGTTGTAATTTGTACTTGACGGGATAAGTTAACTCGAAATAGAATGGAAAGGACAGTTGATGATGGAATTGAAAAGTTTTAACAACCAATCAGGCACGAGATACCCCCACAACGTCACTAGCAAATAACCCATTGGCACATTGATTAAATATTTTCAAAATTAGTAATAATTCAATCATTAATTATTTAAAAAATAATTAGTACAATTTTATTCATTCAATATTTTTAAAATAATTAATAGTCCTTTCTAGATTAATAAATTCACAATTGGGTATAATATAAAAAAAACACAACTACTTCCACTTAGTAGGAATGACATTTACCATGACGCAATGCTAAATTCTATGCCACTATCCACATAAATCAATTATTTATCAAAAATCGAATATCAATTACTTTTCTTTATAATGCAATAAAATCTGGCGAGCAGCTATTTAAACGATCAAACACTTCGTTTGTTTATTTGTGGCTTGAAGTTAGGCTCGCAGAAAATGCAGTTCATGGGTTAAATTTAGTAGGAATAACACAACCTGTGACGTAGGCTATAGTATACCCAATTATCTAGTGGATTTTATTAATTAAGTCTCGGGGTTCCGCCAAAGGATAATAGATCATTTAGTGTTCCGTAGCCGGAAAAAATAAGGAACCGCTGGCCTCAAGCTAAAAAAATAATAAGACTATTTCGACAACTCTAAATAAAAACCTCTTGTAGGACAATCAGAAACGTTTTATTGCACTTCATAAAAATAAAAAAAACTCTTGAAATCACACCCAGGCATCCTTGAGAACTTACCATCAACCAATCAGATCAGGCACCACGGATAGGGTAATAATTTCTTCATAAATTAATGGTGGAAAAAAAGAAGAAATAAATTCTATTTATTTTGCCGTCGCCTCCTTACCCTTTCCGATTAGTTACTGTCTGCTCCTAATTTACATAAAAGGAGCAACAAGGCATTGCCTCGCAATCTGTCAAGTCGTAAAAATTTACCAGTGATTCCCTCCGAAAGAAAAACATCTCATTGGCTGACTCAACTTCCATACATCATTAAGATGCAAAAAGACAAAAAAAAAAAGTTTTAAATGTCTGCTTCACCTTATTATTCGTCATGCGAGACCATCTGTTGTTTTCTTTGTGGTCTCTTGTTTTTCTTTTTCTTTTTGCAGGGATGCATAAAAGGAGTTCGGTTACAGTGTGTTATGCAAATTTCCAAACAAAGCTAGACGAAAATCCTATGGAATTCAGAAATATCAGTTTACAAAGTTTATATCCGACTCCACTGGCGGTCATTTTAGTAGAAATTTAGGACGTTAAAGCCCTTCCTCTCTGAAAGCATCTTGTGAGTTGGGGGGGGGGGCTGTCACTCGCCCTTTATTATCATTACTATCCGGGTCCGAATTATCTGAAATGGTAATCAAGAATTCGAATATGCAATTTTACCTTCATAATTCGAATTGTTTTAAAGTTAAAATAAAATGTTTAAAAATTTTTACCTCTAAATAATTCCTCTCATTTCACGATATTTTTTTTTATTTTGTTCGCTGTGACATTTGGTCAGTAATTGGGACATATATTTTTTCTACGGGGTGGGGGGGGGGAGAGTAAGGGAAGATTTGGTGGCAATTTGCACCAAGGTAATGTTAAAGTTTGTTCGAAATAGAGACGTTTATTTATTTATTTTTCAAATTTAGAAACAATAAAATTATCTATTTTTTTAAAAATTTTAAATTTCATCACTCAAATAATGAGCAAAAAAGTGTAATCTTAGAAAGGGCTGTGTCTCATAATCTATAAAATGTGGGGGGGGGGGGCTTCCGGTCCCTGATTCCTCTTTCGTCAGAACTAAACTATCGAAGGGGTGAAAACAGGGAGGGGAAATTTCTAAATATGTTTTTAATCCTTTTTCATTTTCACAAATAAACTGATGATGGACACTGACTCCATTTGGCACTATCTTTCGTGCTGACGCAAAATATCCTCAGTGGCAGACGGATCATGGGTTTCAGTCCACTGTTAATTGATCCAGGAGATCCTTTTAGAGAGGGTTCAAAATTGGAAATTTGGTAGTTTTTGGTTGAAAATTGGTAGTCGTAAACCTAAAATTGGGTCGGCTATTAAACGACGGTTATAAAATATTTTATCTTGAAAGTAAAATTGGTATAAATTTTTTTTTCTTTTCTTTTGTTCGCAGAAAATGAGAGCTAGAAAATACTGGATTCTTTAATAATCGTTGATACAAAAATTGGTGAATTCTTCTTAATATCGAATCAAAAGTCATTAATTTCTTACACAGAATTTAAAAACTGATCAATTCTTTTTTTCTTTTATTATGTATTCAATCGATTATTTATAACAAAAATGGATAGAGTAATTTCTCAAAATAAATTCAATATTCTCTTATTAGGAAGCATCGGAATATTATTGAATTTTTTTTTAAAAAAAAAGAGAATTATGATAGTTGAAACCTACAATGCCAAATACCTCTCCCAATCAAAAATATAACTTTCCCGCTAAAAAATATTTTCTAAACTAACGACGACATAAGATAAAGAGATTTGATATTGCATGCAATTACACGATCATGCTCGTGCATAATCCTCTGCACAAGTTAACAATCTGAATAAATATGAAGGCGATAGATCCAGAAATACAGCTGCAGTTAGGCACGACCTTATTCAAGGACGACCTAGAAACGGTTGAAATAGAATAAGAATTTTAAGCATCCCGATTTTCAGATGAAAATAAATTACATTATATTAAAAGAACATTTTTATTACATTTACTATACTCCATTGCAAGGTACAGAATTTAAGTACTCATCCGCGACGGTACCGTTTTATTTCGTTATCAAATTATACAAATATGCTTTCAAAACAATGTAAAAGCTTCAAAATTTTAAACACGTTTATCAGAAATTTAATTCGCACTATCGATTACGATTAACATCACAGAATTATTAGAAAAAGGACTTTCATAGTCTCACTTGAATTTTATGCTTGGCGTCATATTT